GGTCTGGATCTAGAAGAGTCTTAGGGTCTAGAATAGGTCCTAAGATCTGAAGTCTAAAAGGGTCCTAAGATCTAGAATAGATCCTAGGGTCTGGATCTATCTGGAAGAGTCCTAAGATCTAGAATACATCCTAAGGCCTAGATCTAAAAGAATCCTAGGGATCAGATTGATCATAGGATCTAAGGTCTGGATTAATGTAGGGTCAGGATTGATCTGGATGGATCCCTAATGACCTCATACAAAAATGAGGTCAACAACCACCTGATTGGAGATGAAATTGTGGGTCGCCTAGAGGTGTCGATGTTTCATCCTACCCGAAACCTGACACGAAAAATTCTGGATTCAGGTCAACCTATTTGCTAGATGGATCTAGTTCGAGTTGACCCAGAAACCCGAAATGACTCGGATCCCCCAAATCCCGCTCACGCAGTAGTTCTAGACTCGTGCTCGCGCCCCACAACACCCTCGCTCAAGCTCGCAACGCCTGCGGTTCCTCGCCCACCCCGCGCCCGCTCTCTCATCCCCTTCGCCTGCACGCTCTCGCACCTGCACTATTGTGCGCTAGGCTGCCTTGCAGGTCGGTGTGCCAAGTCGAGTTAACCCGAATTAGACTCTGGTTAGGTTTGGGTCCAAGAATCATCCTGTTTTGCAAATCGAGTAGCGTTCAAATATGGGGAGTTGAAGGCGGGTCAATTAGGTTTCACCCGAACTCAACTTGAAAACCTATTTTGGCACCCCTAAGGTCGCCCCACTGTTTACCAAACTACTACTGATTCTCATCCTATATGTCCCATCACCTTCATGGTTTGATTTGAGGTAAAACCCATTATTGAGTTCAAGGCGACCTCTGCCACATCTAGGTGCAAATGCTCATCCTAAACCACCTCCTCCTCTAAAGTCTACTCCTCATCACCGACTGTAAGTACTTGCAGCAAACGATCCTTGCAATGGTGGCCCAGTGCAAATTTCTCATCCCAATGGAAACATAATCCTCTAGCCCTCTTCTCCTAAACCCCTGCCTCAGTCAGCCATTTGAAATTTCCACTTGGTCGTGCTCCTAATCCCTTATATTTGGGTACTTCTCTTTGAATGGGCATAAGTTATACTTTTAGCGCCAAAAAAGTAGTCGTCATTCGGTATGTAGCTCCCCAACTGCTACCATTGTTGCTTCTCTCAAGTGAGTTTTTATCCTCCACCATCTAGGCTAACTCCATAGCCTCCCCAACCTTTGTGGCCTCAATAATTGGACAACGACCTTAATCTCTAGCTTGATCCCCTTCATGAAATCCTCCTCCAACACTATCTCAGATAACCTCCCTAATTGGCTAGAAAGGTTCTCAAACCTTTCCTGATAATCCATCAATGTCTCTTCCTGAACCAGAGCAAAGAACTGCTCATAAAAGTCTCATTCCTGAATAGTTCGAAAACGTTCTAAAAAACTATCTTTGAACTCCCTCCACGATCAGATTGGATCTCTCATGTCTCTCCACTGATAACAAGACAAGGCCTTCCTCTCTAAGCATATCCACCCACGAGCATCTTCCCCCTAAAAAATGGATATCTTCAACTTTCTTACTTTTGGACCCCCTCAGCCCCAACTTCCTCTTCCACCTCTGAACGTTCCCATGTGGCTATTGTTTTGATCTCTCCATTGTTATGTCTCACCCCTCTTATAGATATCATCTTCCTCAAAATCAGCCTCCTTATTTCTTCCTCCTAATTCCTCCTCATTTCATATCCTCACCCATTTCCCTCTTAGTTATCAATTAAGAGGTGGCATATTTTTCCTGTCGCCCAAGATTTCTACCTCTCGATCATCCCCCATTGTGCCAATATTGAGGTTTCCCCCACTTCCTTGGCCACCCACAGGTGCTCTTGCCTTCGATGTTGTGGGTTTGGTGTGAAGCTCCAATATTTTATTCATCATGTCCTCTAGGTTAGAAAACTTTCTTTCCATGGATGAAAATCATTCATCAATTTCATATTTGAATTGCCCAATTTCTCATTTTAGTTCCTCTTCCAAAGAATTCACTTTTTTCGGCGTCATAGGTCCCAAATGGTGTTCTGATACCAATTGGATAGGAATCTGACCTCTACGCAACAATAACAACAAGGACAAAGAGAAAACGTAGCATAAATCAATGAAAAAAATTATTATTTCATCACAACAAATCAAGATACAAGTTGATCTACTATTCGAGAGGTAGATTGGCTCTCCACAAACCCTAAACGCTAGGAATAACTCCAAAACAAACTACAACAAACACAAATAATCTCATAATCAATATTAAACAATCTAATTAGCCCTATATAAGCCTCCTTAATTCCCTCCCAAAACTCAATTCAAAACAACCCCCTTTCCTTATATAATCTTTCCTAATTCTCTTCCAAATCTCAATTCAAATCAGCCCCATTTTCTTAAATAAATCTTTCCTAATTCTTTCTCAAATCTGAATTCAAATCAACCTCCCTTTCTCTAAATAAACTTTCCTAATTCCTTCCCAATTTTGGTTTCCTATGGTAAGTAATTAAAGGTGGATTTATTCCCCTTTGGATACCCCTCTTTTCTTGCCCACTGTCCTTGCTAGTGGGGCCCATAGACTCTATCGGTCCATCAAATACCTATTGAAATAAAAGTTTTTATTAGAGGAGATTTAAATGGACATATGTTTGTAGAGTATTAAAAGATTTTAAAAGCATTCATGTTGGCTATAGATTTGGAGCAATTAATGAAGGTACTAGGACCATATTAGATTTTGCTCTAGCTTATTATTTTAGAATTGCTAATACCTTATTTAAGAAAAGAGTATCATATCATCACTTACAAAAATCTATATAGTAAAACTCAAGTTGATTATTTTTTTGTAAGAAATATAAATCATTTAAATTGCAAAGTTTATAATGTTATTTCGAGTGAAAGTTTATGTCCTCAATATTATTTATTAGTTTTGGACTGTAAGATGAAGGGACAAATTATACAACTTAAAATAACATATTATCCTACGATTAGATGTGGGTATTTAAAAAACACTTACAAAAATATATTTTGGAGTAAGATTCAAGATCTTTAGATTTTAGTTGTCCATGAGGAAGTTAATATTATGAGAGAAATAATAATTAATAATATTAAAAATATTGTAAAATATGTGCTTGGAGCATCAAAAGGAAAAGCCCCTAACATTAAAATAGTTTGTGGTGGAATCAAAATATGCTCGAAAAGATTAAAAATAAGATGCTTTGTTATAAAAATTGATTTAGTTATAAATGCTTGAAAGATGGAGAAAGATATAAAGGTATCCATAAGGAGTGATGAAAAAGTTTAGTTTTTACTGATTTATATAATACATTTGAGACTAAGAAGAGGGCAAAAGATATATGTATAAGTTAGCCAAACAAATAGATAAGTGAAGTAAAAGTTTGATTCAAGTGAAATAAATTAAGGATGAAGATCAAAAAGTGTTTTTTAGAAGTGGATATTTAACATGGATGGATAAGATATTTCGATAAGCTTTTAATGAAGATTGTGAGAATACAATTGATTTTAGTGATCTTAGCACCCTAAATAAAATAAAAAAAATTATTTTATCGTCGTATTAACAAAATTGAAGTTAGATGGGCTTTAAAGAAAATAAAGTGTGTAAAAACTGTTGGACTTGATATTTCAATAGAGGTGTGGAAGCATTTAGAAGATGAAGGAATTTTTTGGCTTATGAAACTTTTTAGTATTATTTTGAAGTGTAAGAAGATATCAGATGAGTCAAGGAGTATGTTGGTTCCTATTTTTAAGAATAGAGGTGATGCACAAAACTATGTGAATTATAGAGGAATTAAATTAATATGTCATACATTAAAATAATGGGAGATAATTTTTTTGCATAGGTTACAACGTGATACTAATGTTTCTTAAAATCAATTTGGATTCATGCGGGTAGGTCTAAGGAGAAGTACAAAGAGAATAAGGAGAATTCTCATATGATATTTATTGATTTAGAGAAAACATATGATAAAGTTTCAAGAGAAATGCTTTGGAAAGTTCTTGAAAAGAAAGGAGTTAAATAATCTTTATTTTCAAGTGATTTAGGATTTGTATGCAGGTGTTGTTACTGTGTTCAAATACAAGGTGGTTTGATCAAGTATTTTCCTATTTTAGTTAGATTACATCAAGGATCAACTTCAAGCCCATATCTTTTTGCTTTAGTCATGGATGTTCTTACTATATATTTGCAAGATGATGTACTATGTTATATGCGTTTTGCTGATGATATTCTTCTTGTTGATAAATCTAGAGAGGGAGTTGAATGAAAACTTAAATTATATTTGAGGTCAATCTTAGAATATAAAGGTTTTTATTTGAGTACATCTAAAATCGAATTCGTAGAGTATACTTTTAATAATAATAGATCTAGTGGAGGGCTGTGACTTTGACCGATCAAATCATTAAAAAGAGTACACATTTTAGATATCTATATTAATTTGGTTATGACCAAAATAGCTTTATTTTAATGAATTGAGGGACCAAATTGGTCCCTCAAAATAGTTGGTGACCATTTTGGTCCCTCCCAAAGAGTTCAAGGACCATTTTGGTCTTTTTTTCTCTCACTACAAGAAATTCAGCCTTTTGTGTCGGAATAATGAGTGGGGGGCTGAGATAAAACATAGATCTATCTTATATTAAAAAAAATATTTATATTATATTATAAATAAAAATACCTCCACTTCTAGTGGGGGGCTGAGATGATAAATTTAATTAAAAAAATATATTTTTATACTTGTTTATTTTAATTAATTTTTTTTATAAATAATTATTTAATAAAATAAATTTTCAAAATTAAAAATAATAGATCTAGTGGGGGGTTGCAAGGAGTATGTTGGTTCCTATTTTTAAGATCTAGTGGAGGGCTGAGATAAAACATCGATCTATCTTATATTAAAAAAAAAATTATATTATATTATAAATAAAAATGCCTGCACCTTCTCTCTCCTCCTCTCTTTTATTATTCCAGATTCGGTGACCCTCTCTCTCCCCCCTTTCTCTCTCCGCCTGTTTATTTCTCTCTCTCTCTCACACTCTCTCATTCTCTCTCTCCATGTCATTTGATTTTTTTAGTTTAAACTCAATATGCCAAATGATTTGGCTTATTCTAAATAAGTCAAATCATTTGGCGTATTCACAATACACCAAATCATTTGGCTATTTTGATCCTTTTTAATATTTTTTAAATATGAATTAAACTAATTTGAACAAATAACACGTTCTTTTCTAAAATTTTGCCTTTTAACACCATTAGTCTTGCATCTATTAATTTTGATGTTATGACCGAAATAGCCTTATTTTAATGAGTTGAGGGACCAAATTGGTCCCTCAAAATAGTTGGTGACCATTTTGGTCCCTCCCAAAGAGTTCAAGGACCATTTTGGTCTTTTTTTCTCTCACTACAAGAAATTCAGCCTTTTGTGTCGGAATAATACGCCGCAAAACAATAGATATCTGTCGCAAATCCTGGCCAACATTCTGCACCACAAAGCATTGCGGGTCTCATTACCATCTTATAGAAGTTTTCCTTAAGTTTGAGAGGGACTTTTCTATCACACAACAAGCCCGACGCATTCCTCCACTTAAACCATCCAACTTGAATTCTATTAATAATGTCTATATCCATTACATCATTACCATAAACAGTAGACTCTAAGAGTAAAGCCACTCATCCACCTAAGCATCCTCATCTCTACAGCACTTAACTTAATATTATGCTTCCCTTTTAAGATGGTAATGAGACTTACAATACTTTATGGTGTAGAATGTTGACCATTAAAGAGAAGCATAAAATGAAGTTAATTGTTGCAGAGATGAGGATTCTTAGGAGGATGAGTGATTTTACTCTTAGAGGCAGAATGCAAAATGAGTATATACATGAAAAGGTTGGAGTAGCTTTAGTGGTAGATAATATTAGATAGAGTTGCCTTCGGTGGTTTGGTCACATAAAATATTGGCCTTCTGATGACCCTATTAGGAGAGCAAATGTATTAGATTTGGCCTAAGTTAAGAAAAGTAGAGATAGACTTAAAAAGATATGGTTAGAAAATATTAGAAGTTCATTTTTTATAGATTTGAATGATAATTTGACTCTTAATATGACACGATGGAGAAAAATGATTCACGTTGCCGACCCCACATATTGGGATAAATGATGAGTATAAGTACTTACGTTTGGTTGCTTAGCAAGGCTATTTTTGACATTATACCTTGATTATAAGGAGTTGTTGTGGACAAAGCACGAGGCCAATGATTTGTAGCTATACTCTATACTTATTATTTTTTAGAACTTTCTTTTTTTTTCCTTTATATATATATATATATGGAGAAAAAGATCAAAATGATCCCTTAACTCTTTGTGAGGGATCAAAATGGTCCTCAACTCTTTTGAAAGACAATTTTGGCCCTCAACTCTTTAAAATGGGATTTGTTTTGTCTTAACATCTAATGTTGAAGTTAATTGTGTTAAATGTAAAGATATTTTGATCATTTTTTAATTAAAAATTTATTAAATGTAATTTTCAAGTAATTATATATGATTGGTAAAATTTTATTAAACATTTCTTTAATAAAAAATTAATTATAATTTTAGTTTTAATTTCAAAATTTTTAGTTTTAATAACATATGATTGGTAAAAATGTGTGACTAAGTTTAAAATAACATCTATTTGTATTTGATTTCTCTAAATCAATAAATATCATATTTTATAAAATATAACTAAATTTATTGAAAATTAAAAGTAAAAGTATTATTATTATTATTTATTAAAGAAACGTTTAATAAATTTTTTAAGAAAATCATAATTATTTGAAAATTACATTTAATAAATGTTTGATTTAAAAAATGACAAAAATACCCTTACATTTAATACCATTAACTCCAACATTGGATGCTAGGACCAAAAATATCTCATTTTAAAGAGTTGAGGATCAAATTGGTTTCTTAGAAGAGTCGGAGACTACTTTGCTCTCTCACAAAGAGTTGAGGGACCATTTTGTACTTTTTCTATATATATATATATATATATATAGAGAGAGAGAGAGAGAGAGAGAGAGAGAGAGAGAGATTATTTGATTATTTAGTGGTCGTTGTAGTATCAATCGATGATAGTCGTCATTGAAAGTTTGGCGGAGATTATTTTGATGGTTGGAGGAGCTGGCCTTCCTGCACCTCTTCTGAATTCTTTCCCACCCCTGCCGGTTTTTTCAACAACGATGGTGGATTGTTAAAAACCCTGATGGGACAATAGTTTCAATTGTATTTGTAGTGTTGAAAATGTGGCTTAGATTATCATTTTGGGAAAGTAATTATCGAGTCAACTAACAGCTTATCAAATAAATTTCTGAAGATTTACGTCGTTTCTTCTGGTCTTTTTTGGGGAATATTACACATTTCTGATACAGGAATGATTGTGATTTCTTTGATCAGAATTTGAACTTAGTTACCCTTTAAGTTTGACTTCTCTACTGTTTTTTGACATGCAACTGTGCAGGTTATTGGAGATAGAAAATGGAGAGAAGTTACGAATGCTTTTAACTTCCCATCTTCTGCAACAAATGCATCATTTATCCTTCGAAAATACTACATTTCCTTATTGCGTCACTATGAACAAATTTACTTCTTTAGAGCAAAAGGATGGACTATTCCTTCAGCCGGTCTGTACATGAAACACAGAAATTTCTTCCATTCTTTTATTGTGATTTATGATTTTTTTAGCTTTTTTCTGCATTTTTTAATGGTTCAAAGTTTTAAAACTTCATGCAGTTTCTCTAAGTACAACACGAGTTTCCGTCCTTCGAACTGAGAAGACAAGTGAATCTGCATTTGCATTACCTGAAATCCAATCTGCCACACGCAAAAGAAAGAAAGGCAATGAAGATGTTGCACTGACAGGTTTATCACCTTCCATTTCATACTTATATGCTTTGTTTATCCCATAAATGATATCATAGAAGACTGTAATCAGCTTCACAACTTTACATATTGCATTCGCACTTGTTTATCACTCATCCCTGCAACTTGGTTCCGACACAACATCAACAGGCAGAAGATTTGTCAGTGGATGAAATTAGTTTTAAGGATTTTTAGCATTCAGTTAATCCGTCAAATAAAATGGTCTATCTGAAGAATCGTGAGCTTGTTAGAAAAATAAAAAGCTACATCTTTACTTATGATGCTAGTACAAATATCTTTATATAAAGGAATGAGAAGAGAACAATAAGTATAATAAAGAAGAATATCTCTAATGATAAAAAGATATGATAATAACAAATACTATACATTTATCATATACATCCAAGTTACATATTAATTTAAAACATAATAACTCTAATAACTCTAGTATTCCCCCACACTCACGATGCGGTTGCAAGAAGCATTGAGGGTTTGCATATCTAAAAGCAAAAATGTGGAAGAAAATGTGACTAAATAAAAAATACGCGATAATTCATAATTTGAACACTTGCTTTTTTTTTTGCTTTTGCTCATGCACTTGCAGCCAAATACAACACCATCCTCACCAACCTTCTTTGAACACCTACAAAAACTTGGTACACCCTTCAATTTTGTCTGAATGTTTTGCAACTGTTCTTACATTGCTACTGCAACGAACAACTGTAGTATTTCTTATGTAATTACAGCTATTGCAATCTTATTCAAGCAACTAACTCATCATTTTCTTCTGCATCTTCAAGCTCACCTTCATATTTCTCATCACTCTCTAAAGTATCATGCACATCAACTCAAAAACTTTTTTTTTTGAACAAGAGATAATTTATCTTTTATTCAACATTAAAGTCGTCCCTTCTAATTTCTAACAATTTGGAAGCTCTCTCACCCTATTTGGCTTGTCAAAAGAACTGATTGTTCACAGACAATTTTTGGATGTTGTGGTTGATTGCCTGATTGGTTGTATGGTTCTTTGGATTTGGATTTGCGACTGTTTTTCGTTAGCTTGGTTGGTGTGGATGAGTTTTTTAGCCTGGGCAATGATAAGGCGAACCTGCTATCCATCTAATTGTATGGCTTGTTGGCAACCACTGTTGGCGGCTTCTTGCTGGTCTTCTTGCAGGATACTATTTTCGGACGTTTGGGTTTTATTTTTCTGGCCTGTTGCTTGCCCTATGGATGGCCCTGGTTTACCGTTTGGGTGGTCGCAGCGTTTCACCACTAACTGAGCCCAGCTTTGTTGATTTCCCCTTTTGGTTGTTTTCTCCACTTGTTTTTTTTTTCCTTTAGCTGATTTTGCTTATTCCTCTTTGGATGGTTGTTTATTTTCCTTTTTATGGAATATAATCTCTAGTTAAAAAAAAAAAACAATTTGTTTGGCTTTTTAAGAAGTTTGCATTTAACATGATCGTAATGAAAATGAGTCAAGCTGGAATGGATATTTGAGCTCATTTTTTAAATAGGTCAAATAAAAATTGGCCTATTTAAAATTTATTATATATATCTATATATACTGCACTATAAATTTATTTTAAACTAACTTAATATATCATTATTTTTTGGAGTATGCTTAATTTAGAAAAAGCTTGAAATTTTAAAATTTATATAATTTGAGCCAGACACAAGCCGAACAAGCTCATTTGAGTTTTACAAATTGAACACAATCATGTTGTTTACAAAAAAAATTCAAACACGAGCCATTTTTGAAGCACAAATTCTGCGAGCCAGAAGAGATTGATCGACATTGCTTTGATATCATGTTAGAAAATATAGAATGCTACATCTTTACTTGATTGAATTATGGTGCTAGCATAAAAAATTTTATATAAAGCCAAGAGAATAGAAAATATATAGAAGGTACAATAAAGGCGATATATTACAACAATAAATACTATAAATTCGAGTCACATATGAGGACTTTGATATGACAATAGAATAACTTTAATAACTCCAATATCACGAGCCTCCCTAAAGCTTAGCTCTTGCCATCAACTCGATCTCAGTAGCGACACTAATGTAGGCACCTTTGAGCACAACAGTGCCACACCTATTGATCCATCATAGCTCGGGAAAGTTAAAAAAATAAAAATAAAAGAACAGCAAGAACCAAACCACCCTTCAATCTCTGTTTTGGTAGAATTATAAGCCTAAACACCAAATTTTACCATCAGAATGATCCTCATATCTCATCCAACTGTTTGGCGTGCACTTTATGAATTCTCAATCTCCATTCTTGCATTCATGTAGAATGGGGCCTTAGTAGTTAAATATATTTTGCACATTTTCTATTCATTTTATCTTTGATCTTACTTTTCTTTCTTTCTTAATTGTTCCACATTAATTTTTTCTATCAACTTCGTTCTACTTCTTCAATCCTCATTTTTTCAAGCCCAAATAACTTAATCTCAAAAACCAAATTTGAATTGCAAATGCATGTTATCAGTATTACATTACCAACCTTAGCAAATACCTGTTCTTATAGTATCCAAACCATGCCTTGTTGACAAGTTGCAGTTCTATGCATACTCAATTCTTTATTACAATCATATGAAGTTCATTCCTTAAGCCTCTGCTTCAATCAACTAGAAGTGAGACTTCTTTGTGTTCATTCTTGCTTACAGAATTAAAATTCTCATCATCTGATCTCTGCTTTTTTCCAGCCCCATTAGGTCAAGCATTGTCCGCAAACCGAAAAGTTGTTGGAGTTATCGACGGAAAATTTGAGAATGGCTACTTTGTCACCGTCACAGTCGGCACAAACAAGCTTAAAGGTGTTCTTTTCCATGCTTTACAGCAGAATGCAGTCCAAGTACAACCGGTATATCCTTCAATCAACAACAGCAGCACTAGGGTCATTCGCCGGCGACGAAGAAGGAAGGTCAGCACAAGGGATCCCACACATCCAAAGCCAAATAGAAGTGGTTACAATTTCTTCTTTGCGGAGCAGCATGCAAAGTTGAAGCTGCTCCATCCAGGAAAAGATAGAGAGATCAGCAGAAGGATTGGTGAGCTATGGAACAACTTGACAGAGACAGAGAGAGCTGTAAGACCCACAAGAACTATAAAAAAAGTTCTCCTTTGAATAATCTACAACTTTAACTCCTTTTGTATATGTAAATAACAGGTTTATCAAGAGATTGGTTTGAAGGACAAGGAAAGATATCAAAGTGAGATGGTTGTGTACAAAGAGAAGCAGAGAACAGGCCCAGTTTTGACTGATGTGATGCCAATTCAGCAGCTTCCAGCTGAACCAAGCATTGAAATGCAAAATATGAATTTGAAGGGAACACATGAGGTTGATAAGCTTTTTGAGGATAGTGATGAGAGTCTGGGAGAGAAATCAAATGAGGAACAGAGACATTCACCAGAAGCAGGTGCAGCTGCAGCTGCTGCAGAACCTGATATGGCTGCCGATCCTTCGTCATTTGAGCTGCGAATGAGAGATCTAACTGAAACTGAGAATGATACAGAGAAGCTGAGCAAGAATGGTATTCCTTCTTCCGGCGACGACAGGGAGTCTGAAAGATCTGCAGAGACATAATCAGACAAAAACTGGACTGAAAGTGCACAGAATTGATTTTCATTTATTTTCAAATTGTAGGCGCAGAAGAAGCTAATTTCCATGTTACATTTCTACTATTTTTATATCTCACTTTTCTAACCTTATTAGAAGCCATTTTTTACTAAAAATCCCAATCTGAGCACAGTTTTTTACTTATTAACAGCCGATCAGTTTCCCCTATGTTTGTAAGGCTTATGGTAATTTGTGCTATAGCTGCAGCTGTGATTTCCGAAATTTTAAAAATTATTACTTGCAGTATATTCAGATACGTCTGGAGGTCAATTTGGATGCGTCATATTACCCAATACACAATACATTGAATGATGTGACGCGTTTGGATTGGCCTCCGGATATGTTCGAACTCCGCACAAAATAATCTCTCCATAATAAGTGGGGATGCTTCTAGTGCTGCTATTTTTAGTTCTTTCTTTTTATTTTTAATTTTTATTTGCTTATTTTACATTTTAAAAAAAAATATTTTCCTGACCATTAATTATCTGCATTGTATTAATACCGTATTTTTCTGAAACTATCGTTATACATATTTATTATATTATGTGTGATGGTCTTCAGCTTTAGGTTTTGTTTGGGATAATTTTTTTAGTGTTTCTTAAAACAAATTTTTAGTATAAAAATTTTATTTTTTATACTAAAAAGTTAATTTAGGTTTCGTTTGGGACGATTTTTTTACTGCTTCTTGAAATAGCTTTCTAGTACAAAAATTAAAATTTTTGTACTTAAAATCTGTCTTAAGAAGCAGCAAAAAGCCGTCCTAAACGAAGCCTTAAGAACCAGTAAGAAAGTCGTCACAAATGAAGCCTTAGTTTTCAGTTGAACAAATAACAGAAGTTCAGGTATCAGTTTGTAAAAAATATTTTACATTAATTTGTCAATTTACTGTAACAAAAAAGGGCTATTGTTAGGGTTGAGATTTGAGCTGGAAGATTGTATTGATTTTTAGGAATAATTTAGGAAAACTTTTTTATTACTTTTTAAAAGTAAACTTTTAGTTAAAAAAATTTTGATAGTAAAAATTTATTTTAGAAAATAATAAAAAAAATTGTCCCGAATGAAGTTTGAATACAAAGATGTTGAATCATGAGCTAAATTTTTTGCTCGGTCTAATTTTGACTCTATTTTTAATATAATTGAGCTTGCCCAAAATATAAATAAATTTTATATATTTAATATCGATATTTAATATTTTAAAAAATAAAAAATAATTTGAGTTAGATTTAAATTAGGTTTATTTGACCCAAATAAGCTCCAAATCAAAGCAATTCAAGGCATGAGCCTAAGAATTTAGAAGTGTAAGATGTTTCTCATAATTAATAAAATAAAACTATACAAATAACAACATGTCTAAATTTATCTTATGAAAAATAATAATTTAAGTTTATCTTATAATCAAGCTTATATTTTATCTAAAAGTACCTCATAAATAAGTGTTTTATTTTTATGATAATTTTTACAAAAGAGAAATTATTCTGTGTGGAATCCGAACGCGTTCGGATGCTGCGTTTTTACTGCTTATTTGTTGCGTATTTTTTATACAAAAATTTTTCTTGCCAAAAAATAACAAAAAAATAATACTCACTAAATACTCATTAAATAAATAATAAATACGCAAAAAATACGTAGAAAATATTAAATACATAAAAAATACGCAACAAATAAGCAGTAAATACGCAGCATCCGAACCTATCTCTGCGTTCGGACTGCGTACAAAATAATTTCTCCAAAATCAGAACAAATTAGAAGACAAAAGGAGAAAAAAAAAGCTCTCCTTTAAATAAAAGCAGTTCAAAAATGAACATATATTCCATCACCAACTCTACAGATCACCAAAGATCCAATTAAAAAAACATATTTAAACTAAAGTTAGACGTTAAAATTTAAAATCAAAGAAGAAAGAACTTAAAAAAAAAAAAAACGATGCTGAAGAACTACTCTGAACCAGAATCTTTCAAAGAATCCCAAATGCTATCCATATCAAGAGAAGGCATCGTGCTAAGTAACACCCCATCCACTTCCTCCTCCGCCATCACCACCTTCCTTCTCTCCTCCTCCTCTTCCTCCTCCTCCATCCTCTTCCTCTTCCTCGCATCGTGGCCGCCGCCATTGTCCTTAAAAGACTTGAGCTTGGCTTCAAGCAAGGAGATGGCGGCAGCCGATCGAGCTATGTGGTGTTTGAGGTTGGGGAAGTTGAGGTTGGCAAATTCGCCTCGAAGCTTGAAGGCGGCAGCATCATAGGCCATGGCGGCGTCCTCGGCGGTGTCGAAGGTGCCGAGCCATATACGGGTGCGGTTGCGGGGGAGGCGAATTTCGGCCACCCATTTGCCCCAATGGCGCTGCCGGACGCCTCTATAGAGCTTGGGTGGTGTTGGAGGTGGGTGGGGGGAGAGGGGTAAGGGAGGGAGAAAGGTGAACTGTGGCGTGGAGGTAAGGGAGGAGAAGGAGAGATTAATGGAGGATGAGGGGTTCATGATGTTGAGGTGAATTACTTGGTTGGGATCATTGAAGGTGGTCATTTTAGAGAGAGAGAGTGAGAAAGGAAGTGAGGGAAGGTGGCAATTAAGGGAAAGATGGAGATATAAAGGAAGCGAAAGAGAGAGAGATTGGGAGGAGTTTGACATGCAATGTTAGAAAAAATATATATTTGATTTAATATGTTTTCAGTATATTTTGATCTAAAGAAATCTCTTTTAACCTTTTGTATTTACGTTGAAAAGAGTATAATATAAAATTTAATTAATTTTTATGTATTTTATCTGAATATAAAAAGTTTCCTAATTTATGTTAAAGAAGGGAAGACTACAATGACTTAACATTATTTAAAATAATCACTGGATCTACATTTTTCCTGTTGATATTTACAGCCAGCAAACCAATTAATTGTTATTGAGAATAAAACATTAGGGACTTCAAAAAAATTTAAGAAGCATAAGGGCAGGAGAGGGTGGCTCAGGCTTTCTGCTACACAAAAAAAATTCCTGTAGCAGCGTTTTAATCTTTGTCGTAATCGTCTTCGGAATATTTTTATGCTTCATTTGGGACGGCTTTCTCACTGCTTCTTAAAGCACATTTTTAGTACAAAATTAAAATTTTTATACTAAAAAATTGATTTAAGAAACAGTGAGAAAGCCGTCCCAAACGAAACCTTAATCTTTGTCGTATTACCATTTAGAAATAGTACACCACTCCCTTTTATGAAAAATTGTTACTTGCGTACTCCGTCCTAATTCTAATTACATGAATATATGTGAATCTTTTTTCTCTTTTTTATATCCATGGTATATAAAAGAGAAAATTCACCTGTCTTTATGTAATAGGAGTCTGGACGAAAAGGTGCGTTCGTGCGGTCCGGACTCCGCATGAAATAATCTCTCCCCTTTTATGGGAGAAATCATTACATGCGATCCACATCACCTATACACAGTGCATAACTTGTGCACAACTAATATACAAATTATACGTAGGTTGTGTACAGGCGACTTGGCTATTTTGTTTGGAGTTCAGATCGATGCAAGCTACGTCCAGACTCAACACTTAATAATTTATTCTTTTATGAAGTTTTTTACGGCTTCCTTATAATTAACAGGGGTTAAAACACTTAACTGTTACGTGTTTAAATTTGTAGTAATTTTCAAACGGCTATTAAGAAGAGTGCCTCTTTTTGTTACGCTTCTCTTGAGATATGCTTTGTCATTTTGCTTTGCTGCTGATCATTTCAAATTTTCATGTATGGGATTATGCTTTTGACGGATCTCTATTTGGCTATTTCTGGCAACACTTCTGCTTCTCGGTTGTTTGGTTTTGTGATGTTGCTGCTGGACTTGTATGAGGATTGGTGCTGTTGCTATTCAATATTCTGCTCCTATATCATTAAGAACTTTTTTTTTTTTTAATGAATCTGTGGTCTTTATTTTCCATTGAAAGTGTTTATCTAGCAGACGTTTGCCACCTTTTTCTCTCTTTTTTGAGCTCTTGTTATGAGATATATTGTTAAGATTATTAGAGGATATAATTAATGGAGGTTCAAATGGAGGATCTTGAGGGTTAAGGAAGTAGCTTATTTGTTGGTGGCTTGGGTGTCTAGATATGGTAGTTGGTTAAATATGCAGAGTATAAGTTGATTAGATTTGAGCTTTGGTTTTGAGCTTGAACTTAGAAAATTCTTTTAGATTTATGAATTGGGCATTTTTTCATAGAAAAGAATTTTGATTAGATTATTAATGATTTTTTATTAGAAATTTCTTATAAAAAGAATATTTGAGAAAAAATTTAAATAGAATAAATCTAAAAATTATTGAATTAATTTAATTAAGATGAATGTCATAAATTATTAATTAATTAAATTTTATGTTATACTGATCACAAAATCAATACAATGATTTAGAGAATCAATAAGTATATATATTGTTGTGTCCTATAATATTTGCAGCAATAGAGAAAGATAAAGTTTGTCGTCTTAGCTTTGTACGAAGATTCGTCACACAAACAGATAAAAGATAGGGGGGTAACATTTATAAGAGACACCAAAATTTTTGCATAGAAACCCCTGAAAAAAGAAAAGACTATTTATCAAGTATTTGAGTGTCAAAATGATGTCAGAATTAGGCAATATTGGGCTCGTTGGATTCATCTCTTTGAGCTGCTCTATTTGACTATAAGCATGCTATATTTTGATATCATTTGGTTATCCAATTTATGATTTGAACCTTATAAATGTGTTGTAGGCCCTCGATTTGGACTAATTTGGACTCATATTTGACATATTTTTGTGTGGTTGGGTTCGTCTTTTCAAGACGTTCAATTTGATTATAATTTTGCTAAAATTGGAGTTTGAATGATCTCAAATTTAATTTTAAAAGTTTCTTATTCATATTTATTGGCGATATATATATATATATATATATAATATATAGGACTAAGATATTTCAATCATTCATGCAAGTAATTATCATAATCACATAGGATACTCAATAAAATTTGTTGTCAACTTTTGCTTTCAATGCTTTCAAATAGATATTTTTTAAATGATTCTTACAATAATTGAGTGTTGGTATATAGCTAGCTATGAAAGGAGACAATCTCAATTGGGAGTGCCAATTATTGACCCAACCCGATAACTTGACCTGAACCCAACTTGAAAAATTTGGGTTTTGGTCGACCTATTTAATAAACGGGTCGAATTCGTGTTCCAATTTTTGACCTGTTTGAAAAATCAGATTGGGTCTGGGTCAACATGCTAACCCGCATTTGATCTGGCTTTGACCCGAGTCCCCGTCCGACCTCACCAGTCACCCCCATGCAGGGGGCTCACCCATGACTCCCGCACATGCGCAATCGCGCTCGTGGTGCTCGAACCTGTTGCCCGCAGTCACACGCAAGCACTCGCAACGACGAGGTCTCGCCCTCGCACCCTCACAAGGCACCCGTGCAGTCGCACACTCTCGTCGTCCTACCATCTCTAGCAATCATGCTCTTTCACACAATATCGCACTCTAACGTCCGCCCTCACCCACATTCATTCTAGTGCAGTCCAACATGCGACCAGTTCTCGATGCTTGCGTGCTTCAATCTCGCCCACAACTTAGTGGGTCGGGTAGGATCAACTCGGTAAACCGGTGGGTTGGGTCCAAATTTGAATTTCTGACTTGTATGTTTGATCCGGTCGGATCAAATGAAAGCGGGCCAATTTCAAGTTTTACCCGAACCTTTATCCAAAAACTCATTTTGACTTGTTTATCCCTTTCATGCAAAATAATTGAGGAGAAGTTAGATTAGTCTTTTATGGACCCAATTATTATAACTTCAACTATGCTCCTCCTCCATGCCTTGTGTACTGAAATTCCATGTGAACTTTTGAGAGAAAGGAAGACCATATATATATATATAATAGTCCATGACACTTTGTCACCATCAATGCTATCATCATCAATCATCATAGTTATTAGCAATAGAATAGACAGAACATCACATCATGATTTCTTGGTTAAATCGCATATTGTTATATTATTGTCATGATTTGGCACTAAATTAAGCTTTTGCTTCATTATATTCTTCTTCGAAAAACCAACATAACATCTTCAAATTTTGTGGTCTGTAGAAGCTTCAATGGCTTCAAGAAGTTTTGATTATTTTTCTCATGATAAATTGCATATAATCTGAAGCATTTCATCATGGTTTGATCGGAATTTCTTATTTCTATAGTCGAGAAGAGTCTAAGGACATTCTTATCCCATAAGTTATATAGTAGTTAGAGAGCATTATAACTTTATAGTTGTATGTTCCACGAAAGTAGGAGTGTATGTGAGCCAAACAAGCTCTTGAGTCGGCTCGGCTCAAATAAGCTTAGTTGATGAGCTCAAACTCGAGCCCACATCACGACGCATATGACATATGAGTAAGGGTTTGATCTCAGTTGGACCCAACTCATTGGGATCAAGCTATTGCTACCATTTAAAACAAGAAAAAAAAATTATTATTGATGCATTCTCTATGGAAGTCCCATCATAATTCTTCCATTGGCGCTTTGTTTTTTTTGGGGGTGGGGTGGGGGTGGGTAAGGGGATTCAAACATATATCTACAGGGAGGAAGTTATTCCGTCGACCAATAACATGGAGTTTTTTTTTAGTCTCAATTAAAGTCACACCTCATAAATTAGTATTACTTGGTAATTGGCCTTAGGCATGAAATGATATGAATCTCTTTGTTAAGGAGAATTAGAAAAATATTACACAAAATAAAAATAAAAAATTAAAATGATAAAGAGTATTTAAATATTTAATTGAAATTAATTTCGCCCATTTATTGAATGTTGAAAAATTAGTTTAATAAATTTTTTATTTATTTTGAAAAAAATTGAATTGTAGCTTTTTTGTTTTGAAGGAAAATTTTAAAGATGGAGCACCGTAAGCATCATAATTTAGCATGAGGAGCACAAATCGAACAAAATTTGAGAGGGAGCAGATGCGTCAAAGTATTTGGCGCAGTTAGAACACGCCATATGTTTTGGCACATGCAATGAATGTGCTAACAATTTTGACGCAATAAAGAATACGCCAATAGCTTCAGTGCCGTGGTTTTTCTCCTTTTTAGGGGTTTCCACGTAAAAAACTCTGGTGTCTCCTATGAACGCTCAATTTACTTATTTATCTGTTTGTGTGCTGGATCTTCTTACAAAACTAAGATGCTAAACTAAATCACTCTCTATTGCCGTGAATTTTCCAAGACTCAAGAGTAGTCCTTATGATGGGAGGGACTAACTTTAATGTTGCCATAAGATTTCGTTCGTATATGACCTTAAAAGGGTTGCAACCCAAGGACTGAACTCGGGATCAATTGTAAGCAAGTTTGACTTGGTCTACTAGTAGTTTTCCTTTGTCTGCTAGCAAGTTTTTTTTTTTTTTCATAGATTTCTAATGACATTTATAAAGAAGAGATAGATTCTTACTACAATTCTTCAATTAGTGTGACCAATCACTAGGTCGAACAGTTAGACACAGTGTGTCTAAATCATCCAAATCAGTGGCATTTGAAACATTTCTATGCATGAAATGCAATTGCTAACGTTGATCACATCAACAAACGTCTAATAGGGTTGTGGTTGAACTATATTGGAAATAGCCGGGTTCAATCCTCCACGAAAGTGAGCAATTCTATTTTCCTTAGTTTCCACCAAGTGACATTTAAAGCTTAATTGTTCAAATTCAACAACATTACATTCCACATGAAGTTCTTATTGATGAAGATGGTGTAGCCAAAGGAATATATCTTGGTGACAATGTTCTAGTAAGAACTTTCATTTCAGCTCCTTCATCTTGACCCACATAGTGGCCTTGTTTTGTCCATACCATTGCTGAGAAAGTTTCAAGTTCTCCCATCATAATGGGCATTGCCTTTAAGCATAATGGGCATCAATTTGACAATTCGATCGAAAGGAATTTCCGTGTATTCAATAACTCATTCAATGATATGCAACTAATTGTTGTATTCATCCGTGCCCAATCGACCCTCACATTTTAAAATGTTACTTTTATTCCAAAATTGGAAGGAAGCCTCCTTGGCTCACAGTGGTAATAGCGAAGCGGCAATTCAACCTATTAAAATGGGTTCTCCTCCATCTCTTCATGGTGTTCTTCTTCCAATCTATTCCAGCGATTCGTAAGATGTCTAAGCTCCATCACAACAAACCTTGCTTGTAATTTCCCAATTTTCCTTCGCAAATAATGACAATTTCTTGGATGGGCTTTGGATTTCCACTTCTTTGTAGTATGTTGAGATTTGAAGGCTCTAATACCAAATGACATCGAAGAATTCTTGAGAGAAAACTAAAAATCTAGAATATAAATATAAAAGATAGCAAGAACACATAAAAACCATCACATGGATTTGATTTCTAGGATAAAGAAATCAGCCAAGGCTTAAAAAAAGTAACTTTACTTTATTATCTTCACCACTTCAAATTGAGGTTAGCCATCCTATTTATACAGTTTGCAAATAATCCCAAAGACTAGACTACAACTTATATAGAAAATTGCTGAACTGAATCATATGGGTGGTCCAAACAAATCATATATGTTTAGCTTATGGCTTAACCGAAACAAGGAAGAAAGAAAAATATTGAAAGAAACTTAATCAAAATAGAAATAAGAGAGGGAGAACATGATTTAGGTTCAATATAGTACTTAATATTGTTTTCCTTAGGAATAGATCGTGAATCAATTCAGTTGTATTAGCGGTATCAATATTTAATCCGATTTGAAAACCCGACGCAAAAATTCCGGGTTATGGTCAACCTGCTTGGCAGCGGGTCAGGTTCAAGTTCCAAAAATCTATCTGTTTGAAAAATCGGGTCGGGTCTGAGTCAACCCGCTAACGCAAAATTGACAAGGATCTGACCCGATTCCTAGCCCAGACCCGATTCCTCTTCATATTCGCTTGCATTTGCGTAGGCGTGGTCCCAGCTCCCGCAGGCGCAGGCCTAAGCTAGGGTCCTAGGGACTAAGGTTTGATTTTCTTCTTCTCCTGCCATTCCTTTCCTCCTTCGATGACGTTCCTTCTTGTCGGGTCGGAAGTCACGACAATTAAGCTCGATGTTCAATTCTAGAGTTGGATCAGAAGCAACGACGATAACGAGAGGGAGCTTTCCGTTCTTCTTGAGTCCTTCTGCAGTTGGATTGAAAGTAATGAAGACGATGGGACTCGAAAGGCAGGGAGTTGCCTTTTCGACGGCACTCCTTTAAGTTGAGTCGGCAACTCACCATTTTTTGTTGGATTGAAAGTAAAGACGACAACAGGTTGGCGGGTTGTGTTGGATTCACCCCAGGTTCGAAGCGGGTTGAGTTCGGATCCCAGAAAATGACATGTTTTAAATAATGAGTCGAGTTCGGGTCGGGTCAGCTAGTGTTGGATTGGTTCCGGGTCGGTTCCAAGTTGGACCCGAACCTCACTTGTGACCTGATTTTTACAGCCCTAGGTTGCGTCAACTATAGAGATATTTTAAGAAATTTAATAATTAATTTTGATTTTTATTTATTTATTAAATAAATAATATTAGGTAAATAATTAACAAATAATTTTATATCCACTTAAACACTGCCATTAGATTGCCTTTTTATTTATTTATTTATTTTTGGCGCAAAAAATGAGCGCGGTTTGCTACCATTATTGTTTCCCTGATCCGGTAACCGAGTGGATAGGCGGGCTATACAGTCACTCTAATCGCTTGCTTTTTTTTTCCCTCCATTAATGGCGACGAGTGTTTTCCGCCCCTCAACCTTCTTTACTCGGCCTCCGGAATCCCGACAGGCTAGGTATTTACCCATGCCGGAGCTATTTCTCTCCGGCGAACTTCACCTTTTCCAGCGGAGGGCTTATCGTCCAGAACTATTCACTGGTAGGTGCCCTTACGGAATCCTCAGTCGAGCCGCCGCCGGAACTGAGCCGAAGGGTACATTCGGCGCTGAAATCGTCGTTTACGATGTCGGTTTCGATCGACTGAAGAAGGTACGTGGCCTATTGGATCTCTTTCTCTTATTTATCATCGCGGGTTTCTATGCGCGACACGGTTTGCAAGAAAATGGATTTATTAGAAACTTAGTTGACAAGTTGCGTGCGCATTTTCAATTTACGAGTATTCGAGGTGATGTTAGTGAGAACAAAATTCGTTTGGATTCAAGCGTAGGATATTAGAGGAGTAGACTAGGTTTGGAATCGTTGATCAGAACATCGAGGTGTAGGGAAACGGTTTTGGTGGTGCCAGTAGAATTTTGGTAAAGTAGGATAGCAGGCTAACCCTTGAATTTATTCCAAGAAAGACCTTTCGACACTTAAATGAATAACTGTACTTGAAATTGAATAAGAGCTGAAATCAATTTAAGAAAGTCTCCTCTTTGCGCTGACAGAGTGAGAGTTCTAAGAAAACTCTTTTACCTTGACAGTTGGCACCTTTGAGGGTATTTATAGGCATTTGGTATGGAATTTAAGTATCCTGGCTAGTCAAATGGTGGATGGATGGACTACATTGCCTTTGATATTATGTTGGATTGAAATTTTCCTTGATTGAGGGCAGTTGATCGAAAGGACTCTACATCATTTTCATAATTTGTTCTAGACCAGCATCCCCTTGTCAATAATGGGCAGATCGATGGAGACCCTACTCTCCATGATTAGTGTATTAGATCTAAAGAAGATGGTTGGATCTATATCAATGGACTTGAGATATGTGCCAATGATGATTTGAATGGGATTGTCAAATTCATGCCAACACTCCGAATTCATGTTGTTGAACATGTGCTTCCTTTGGGCCATTCAACTCAAATTTTTAGACGATCAAGTGGTGTAGGAGGTGGATGGACAATTATATTATTTTCCTCTAATTGCACGAAGATCATCAAAGAACTAATTCTTTCACTTTTGATTGAATGATTCGAATTAATTGTGTGCTATTTTTTAGGATCATAATTGTTGCCCCATTTAGATTCTTTGTAAAAAGTTAAAAATATTCCTTAGCCTAAAATAAATAGTTGTATTCTCACGACATGGTATGAATGTAGGCCCTCTGCCATAATCAATGTATGAATGTTGGTACGATAGATGTCCTCCTAGGATCATGGTATGAATTTTGTTGCATAAACTTGTTGAGTATGACTCCAAATATGTTGTAAAACTTTTTAAACTTTTCCCAAAATGCTCTATGAGATTAGATCTCAAAAAAGCTATTTGGGCCCTTATCGAATTCAAAAAGGGAAGCCTAAACCCAATAAAAAAAACTAAAAAAGTTCCAAGCAATAGTCTATACCTAGCCTAGCCCAATCTCACCATGAATGCCACCAGTCACGACACCTTGATGTTGGACCGTCTAAGAGTGTGTACGACTCTGACATCCCCATTATTCGTGCTAAGTGGTTCAGCATTACCACCCCAATGGAGGTACATTGTACCTTCATCAAGGAGATGTTGGGGCTATTTATGATCTTCCCATAGCCCCGCTTAAACTTGTACCTCTAAAATTTTGTTTTTTCCTTTGTTGATGTTAGAGATGATCATGGTGGGTTGATCGTCACTATACCCATACCCCCTTCATATGTTTAGTGCTTGGCGGGCTTAGTGGTTGCGGTAAGCTTGAATGCTAAGATTTTAACCCATATCCACTCCATTGCGAGGTGGAAATAGTGAGCTTAGGCATACAATTTCAATCTCAGACACTCCACATGTTTGTTCAGTGGTGAGGTGACAGTGATGAACTTGGGTATCTATATTAGAATCCTTTGTGCATCTTTTGTTCGGGGGCAATGCAACAGTGGTGAACTTGGGTGTTGATATTTTAGCTTATATGCATATGCCCTTTTCATACTGTTCATTTGATGGTGAGGGGATAATAATGAACTTGACTTTTTGAGATTTCAGCCCAAACCCACTCCGTGAATTAGTCTTTAGACAACAAGATGGCTTGATTTTTGAGATTTCAATATAGACCTGCTTCATGCATCATTCTTTTAGTACAAGGTGACATCATTAACTCATTTGTTAGGAGGGTCATGTCGGAGAACTTGAATGCAACAACCATGCACTAGTATGAAGATATGTATTTGTCAAAATTTTTTTGTTGATATTTTATTTTAAATACAGGTCCATCCATAACATAAGCTATTTATTTTGTAGAGATTGGTAATCTTCATATAACTGTTGGAGCTGAGTAGTCTTCCCATGTTTGGTAGATTGTGTTATTCTTCTTATATCTGATGGACTTGGGTAGTCAATATGTACCCAGTGGAGTTAAGTAGTTTCTATATGCCCAGTTGAGTTAAGTAGTCTCCATATATTTGACATTATTGGGTAGTCTTCGTATATATAGTGGAGTTAAATAGTCTTTATATACCCAATGTAATTTAATATGACCTTTTCATTTTGAATCTTCAATGTGGCTATATTTGAGAATGAAATCTTTGAATAATATTCCGCCGAGGAGCTAAACATTGGTCTAATTCATTGTATGGGAGTTTTATTTGGGTGTACGTGTAAGCCCAACTTGGATGCTTATGAGGGTTTTGTGGTCGGGATGCAATTATAAGCATAATATTAGCTTTCTTCTCTTTGAAGGATAAATGAAATATTGATATAAGACGAAGCATCTACATTTGTGACCCTCTTAGAACTTGATGTACATATGTTAGAGTTGAATTAACATTTAATTTCTTCAAGAAATTTGAATGTTAAGTAGAGGAAGTGATGTCGACTTATTCTCAAAAACCCTAATTTGAATATAAGGCTTGGGTTGGGTAGACACCAGATTGGAACCGTCAACACGTGCATATATATTTAATGTATATCATTAGAATCATCAAGTTCAAAACATAGACACCACACATAATCAAGTGAGATACACACAAAACCAAACATTATATGATTCCAACGAGAAATAAGAGAGATAAACAGGAAATACTAAGAGGGCTTAGGAGAATCTTGGATTAGGGTTTTTGGAATAAGGTGGAAACTCAGAAAATGAGTGTGAAAGAGGGTATCTAAATAGGAGAGAGGCGAAATAGAATATGAGAGAAAAATTCAATTTGCCTCATTCAAATGTTCAGATTCTTTACAACCTAAGGAGATGACTAATTTATAGACCATTACATGACTAAAAATATAAATATTATAAATGCCATTGACATTCAATTCTTTATTATATTAAATAATACAAAAATAGACTAATTATGCATTGCGAAAAAATTGGAAGTATTTTTAATTGACTTCTCAAGCTATCATATTCTTTGATGTGGAGGTTATTTTGGTTAATGTCCTTCATTAGCAGGCTTTTCCTTTTATATGTCTGGCCAACACTTGAGCTAGATCATCCTTATAAGAAGATTGTTCGAATTGAATCCCCTTTAACCATTTTTGAATATGATATTCGAGTGTATACCTTGTGGTTGAGTTTTAGGAGAACCAACTATAGAACAACAACAACCATCAAACCTTTATCTCACTACGTGAGGTCGGCTGCATGAATCCTTTTTCTCCATTGTCCTGTTAAGAGTCAAAATTTATTTTAAATCTAATAAAAAAAGAGGTCATTTCTATTGTTTTCTAACAAAGTCTTTTTAGGTCTCCCTCTATCTTTCTTAACATTTCTACTCTCCTAACCGGGTTATCGGAAGACCGACGTTTTATGTACCAAACCTTCTAAGGTGGCTCTCTCTAATCATATTTGCAATTGGAGCTACTCAAACCTTTTCACGTATATACTCATTTCACATTCTATCTTTAAGAGTGAAGCTACTTATCCACCTGACATTCTCATCTCTGCAACACTTAACTTAATTTTATGCTTTCCTTTTAATGGCCAATATTCTATATCATAAAGCATTGCCAGTCTCACCACCATATTATAAAAATTTCTCTTAAGTTTGAGGGGTATTTTTTTTATCACACAACGAGCTTGATGCTTCAGCCAACCAATTTGAATCGACTTATAACATCCCTACCTATTTCACCCGAGATATCTAAAACATGTACTCTTATTAATGTCTTTATCACCCAAAGTCACAGTACCCCACTAGATCTATTACTGCTAAAATTACACTCTATATATTTTGTTTTAGATCTACTCACATGAAAATATTAATTTAGGAGGTTCGATTATGTATGAATAAAATAGTTTGTTTGGTTGTTGTGGTGTGAGTCAAGATTTTGATGACAATGATAATTAATTGAGGTTAAAAAAATCCAAATAAGGCTATGCCATGCTCTGATGTCTTGGCGATCACAGCTCTTTTGTGGTTTAAAGAGTTCTTTATAGTTACAACCTTGGCTAGGATGTTTGAATTCACAAAAGGAATTTTGTTGTCCTTCATAATTATTGGCTAAAGCTTTACCTGGTGACGTTAGTATGTTATGGTAGAGTTAAGATTGAATTGAATTTCTATAAGGATAGATTTTTAGTTGCAATGCAAATGCTTATGACTCTATTTAGAAATCTTTGGTTAGTTAGAGAATCTACACATTCGCCCCTTTGAAATTTTGCTTATTAGGAGTTGTTATCAGAGCTTTCCATTGGTAGCCTGTATAATGCTAGGCTTCAGCCTCACTCATTGGGTGGTGTCTCGAGGACTATGAACATTCAGAGTTTATGTCTATATTACTTACCTATTTGGGGATTACTCTTTGGTAGCTGCTTATGAGGACTTTTAGTAATGACATTGTCCAAAATTAGGCTCTCTTCAGGGCTTCATTTAGTGGGGATTTCTCGAGGACTTCAAATTGATAAAGATTCTGTCTGTATACTTGCTTACTGTTTCTCGGTTTGGGCCTTGGTTGCTCTCGGGTTGGGCTTTGGCTGCTCTGGTTGTGAGCTGAAATCTTGGGGTCTTCATGGTGCTAGCTCATTAATATGAAAAGGTTCCTTCCCTGGTTGTTTCCCGTGTCAGCCTCTTCCCCTTCTTGTGCTGTCCCGTGAATTAAGGCTAGGTGCTTGTTGCCTTTTCGGTTTTCCCCCTGGCTGCTTTTCCGTGAATTCCCCTTCCCGGTTCCTGTGTTGCCTGCTCGGTTTGCTCCCTGGCCGCCTTCCTGTGGTTTCTCCTTCCAGGTTTTTGTGTTGGCTCTTCGGGTCCCTTCCTGGCTCTGTTACCGTGGCTTCTCTTTCCCGGTTCCTGTGCTGTTTTGGGACAGATTTCTTGACAGAAATTTGGACTGAAGTTTTGGCCTTTCAATTGCTCCTTTTAATTGATTTAATTAGAGATTATGGTGACTGTTTGGTTGCCCTCTTAAGTCCTATAAATATGTGATGTTTGGTGAATAAAAGAGAGTTGATGAAGTAATTTTTGGAAGAAAACCTTTGGGTTTTGATTGATAGCTTGCGAGCTATGTATCCTCTTCTCCTTCTTCTAGAATAACTTGCGAGTTATGCCTTCTTCGTCTTGGCTTCTAATCTCCTTCTTCTATCTGCAAGTTTGACGCCACTTGTATCCTTCTTCTCGACGATTGGCAAGCAACTTTAGGTGTGTGTGTTTGTGTCAAAGTTTGTAAGAGTCATCTTTATCTTATAAAAGTTGTAATTTGTCTAATTTGTCATTTTTTGGGTATTTTATGTAATTTCTTTTATCCTAGGAAGAGTTGCTTTTGCTTGCAAAAAATTAGGGGTTGTCCTAATTTCGTGCTTGAATCAGAGTTGAAACTAATTTATTAGTCTTAGTATTCAGGAGAAATTGTGAGAGTTTTGAGGTGATCACTACCCCTTAACCCTTGTGGGGGGGGGGGGGGGGGTTGGTTTTTTATAAAGGGTTTTTGGGGGTTGGGTATTATAGATTCTTAGAGGATGCATTTTTTTGGTCTTTTGGCAAAAATGTACAATGGATATATGAGGCAAGTCACTTTCAAGATGCTTGTTGGATTAAAGTTCTTGATTATTGGCATTTTAATGCTTTGGTTTATCGAATGGTACATAATCAAGACATTTCATTTTCCAAATTCATGCTAAACCATTATTATGTTAATAATGTGCAAATTGATGGAAACCATAGGCTCAATATTAGTGGTACTGGAGATTCAGATCAATTGGTTGGATCAACATATTTGGCTTTGAGATTGGTGCCAATAATGATTTGTATCAGATAGTCAGATTTAATATTAGTGCTATTAATCATGTCCTTCATCAAGTTCATTTTGGAGAGTTAGCATGAACCTTGACACAGTTAAGTAGTATAGGAGCTATAAATTGCGTCATTGGTTTGAATCTTATTATATGAAAATGGTCATGATGTCCTCGATTGAACGGTTGAAATTAATTAGGAGAATTGCTTAGGAATATATCATAGACAAAGTTATTGGCTCAGAGATAATACGCATAAATGCATCTTAGTAGAAAATTTTACCAAATCTATCAAGAATAGCATTTAGAAGAACATGGAAGCAAGATATGATTTTTTATTTTGAATATCTTTAGCGGTTTGGCACACCAATTTGTAGGTAGAACACCCCCATTTCTTTTGTTTTTAATAACATAAAAAAAATTAACACTCTTGAAATAAGAATTTTAAGAGGCAAACATAAGTTTAGCTGCTAATATAGAATTCATTAATAGGTTCTCATAGCATCTGTTCGGATTTTGGATTTACATCATTTAGACACACTACACCTTTTTTGTTTTCTTTTCTTATTGATGAAAATTTCGAATCTAAAATGCATATTTTAATGCGCTATTGTTGTCAGATGAATTGTCATTTTAGAAAATTACTCAATATCAGTTTATGAGCTTGTCTGATCTTTGCTTAGTGGCTTCCATTTCTTATTTCTCTAACATCCTCTGTTCTTCCGTGTTAGGACAGGTTCCTATATCAAATATCAGAAATTTTTGTATTATAGCTCATATAGATCATGGGAAGTCAACTTTAGCAGATAAATTATTACAATTAACTGGTACTGTCCAGAAGAGGGAGATGAAAGAGCAATTTCTGGATAACATGGATTTGGAGAGAGAGAGAGGAATCACTATAAAATTGCAGGTAGGTTCAACTTACTTTTTTGTTTAAGTTCTTTAATTATAACTTTTTTAAATGACAAAGTATATCTCTGTTCATGCGGCACATTCTTATAATTTGATTCCTTTCCAAAGCTAATTACAACTGCGGTTGTTGAGTCTGTGTCAAGCCATAAATCATTTCATATGAAATGGCTTACCACCCTTTTAAATAGGCGTAGTTTGTATGACCTATTATGTTATATCATTTGTACATTGTAATCCGCTTGTCTATATTGTTTCAAATCCTATCAATAGCGATTGTCAGTTTGTTCTGCTATCCACAAGTTATGGGCGCTGTCTTTATTCGTAAATCTTGTCTCCTGTTTGTGGAAGTAAACATCATCAGAAAGCATGCTGTATTGCTTAGTATGCATTAGAGTCCCTTTATTATCTTTATTAGTGTTCTGTACCATCCTCCATAATTAGTTTAGTTTTTGTTTAAAACACTCAGTATCAAATAAACTATATTCTGTAGTTGATTGTCAAAGCTTTAGGAAGGTATTTTATATAGGTTTTGGTCCTTTGCTTGTTCCATAATTACAAGGGTCCTAGTAATCCTAGCATATTACAATTACTAGTTTAGATCAATATAAAGCTGATGCCTGCCGCTATGCTTGGCTACATCAATTCTCTGATTTGATCTTACTTTCAATATGTATTAACGTAGATTTATTTGTTTATTCTTTTTTTCTTAAACTTATGGTCAACTTATATCTTTTTTTGTCCATTTAAGGTCAGGTTTAAAGTGCACCTTAGACCATTTTTGTTTTAAGTTAAATTGTTTTTGAGTAAAAAAATTAAGTTTACCTTTGATAACAGGCAGCCCGAATGCGTTTTGTGTTGGAAAGTGAAGCATATTGTTTGAATCTTATTGATACACCCGGCCACGTTGACTTCTCATATGAGGTATGCTAAGCTCAATCATTTAGCTCTCTTAGTATTTTCTTTGAAAGATGCAGTGGATGACTTAGCTTGTGTAATTGAATGTTTAGATTTATCTGTTAAGGATGGCCGTGAGTGTTTATAATACTGCAACATTTCTTTTATAAAAGTAAAATTTCATAACTAGGCAATTATAAGGAGTAAGAAGACAAAGTATTCACTAAACTACAAGGAATAAAAGATACCAATCACAAGAGAGAGTATCCATCTAGGTGTTGAGGAGTAGCCTCATTTGCTCCTCACAAGTCAAGTGTGTTAAAGTCGTTAGGCAAATTTTTACGTGGTGTTTAAAGTCTAGTAAACCTTGGTGAAGGAAGAAAAACTTTTTTTTCTATTACAGGTATTTTGAAATATTTTATCCACTTGGTTTTTGGTTCCCGGGAGACTTCTATAGTTCTATCATAAGTATATCACTGTTCAGATTATGGATCACCAACATCCTTTACAATCAGAAGATCATAAGGAGCTTGAGCTATTTTAATTGGTGATCTAAATCATTGTTGATATTTGATAGGGAAGTTTCTCCCAGAGTTGTGATACCACTGTCAGATATATCAACAACAACAACTAGAATAAACTCCATATTATATAGCACTTGTGTATAGGAACGTTTAGATTAGTCTGTTAACATAAGTAATAATGCCAATTTAGCGCCGAGGAATATATGCAAGATGTGGCATGGATACTTCAAAAACTCATTTCCTTGTATGTATCAATTTATCATCTGTTGCTTGATCTTAAACGAAAAAAAATATAGTGAGATTTGTTAAGTTCACTAAAACGTTTGGTAGTGTGCATGTTGATTGTTAGTTTGTTGAGTTCTTAGTTTCATAATTATCTTATAAAAAGTTTAAATATTTATTCTCCAGGGTATACTTTGTCCTAAAAAAGTATGATAAATAACCTATAATTGATACAAAGCACATGATTATGATTGGAGGGATGGTTCTGACATGGGGAAACGTGAGATGAGATCTCTAAACTGCCTAAGATTTATCATTTGATTGACCTAATCTGTACCATAGAAAAATAACTTTCTTGGCAAAATTAAAACATTTTTCCTTTTAAATATATGAACTAATATCTCTACTATAATTACTTATTGTTAACCATATCAAGATGTCATGTAATTATTTATTTGCATGTTTAATTAATGGTAAGTGTATTAAAATCTAATGCTAGTTGCAAAATGAACACTAAAGAATTATGAAATGAAAAAAGCTTGGGAACCCCTCAATCTAGAAGTTGGAATATTTTGTGCATTCTAGTCCCTTGAAACCGTTGTTTACTAGATCATTAGTTTTGTATGTATTGACAATCACTAATTATTCATCCAAGTTGAGAATAAATCAAAGATAAACACCAATAAAGCAAAGGGCATGGAAATATGAAATGAAATTAATAAAGGAAACGGGAAGAAACTGTACTGCAACATTCTACCCTAACCCTAGAAGAGTAGAACTATAAGAGATAAAGTTTTATGCTTCTAATAGTACCTTCCAAATTTTGCTTGATCTAAATCACTAGTTTTGGATGCATTGCAAATCATTGAGCACACATCCAAGTAGGCAGCATATTAAGCATAAGCACAAAATGCAGATACGTAGAAAAGATGGGAAGATGGAGTGAATAGACGAAAATATGAGAACTGAATCTCCATTGCACGATTCCAGTAGTTCCCTTCATGCTTCATGCTTGGAACTAGGAGTTTACATTTACAACAAAAGAATTTCTTGTGCAGGGAGCGTTTGCATCCAAAATAACATCGAACAACGAAAATAAATCAACTCTCATATACTTGGGTTGAGACGTACTGATGACTCCTTAAGATAGCTCTAAAATCTAGTTGGAAGATCCACCAGATCAAGCTAGATGAATCTTAAACATGGTTTCATATTGAACCTTTGACTTAATATACCATAACTTACTATCTACACTTAGATTTAGTATTGGAGGCAAAAGTATTTCTAACATGGGATATATGATTTTTTTACTATTTATTTTTTTTATATGTTTAGTATCTGAGATAAAAGTGTTTTCTGATATGAGATGTATGATTTTTCTACACACTCAGGTTCAATGTGAACATACTATATGCTCCACTTTGGTAGTCAAATACTATCCTCTCTGTGGAACTCTAATTTGAGTTTTAACAAGATTAAATACAACTGTAAAATCTATTCAAATGTTTTAACCTATTAGCTAAAAGAAAGTATATTAATATCCCACTACAAGGTCACTCAAAGATAAAGTAAAGATGCAACTCAATTTATTTGATCTTTTATGGTGATATGTTCACAACCCAACCTTGGTGTTTGGAATATCGAGACAAAAATAGACGAGAGGATAAAATTTTAAAATACATCTACTAACATTTAATAATATAAAAGCATGTTCATAAGTTTTCTTTATAATAACAACTTTAAATACATAATTTTTTTTTTTAAATTTTATTATATTTCCAAAATAACTACAGATCTGCTATAGTTATTTCAACATCCATAAATTTAAAATACTTGTTACTTGTAGCTCCTCATTGGCGTTGCATAAACTCCATTCTCTCACATTCAGATCACAAATTTTTTCCTCTATATGTTTATTTTATAACAAGTGTGGGTTATAAATGTTATTCAATGGGTATATCACAGTTCTAAATCATATTAGCTCAAATGAAAAAAAAACGTGCATGCTAGTCATCATTTTAAATTGTAAGGAAATCATAGAATGTTTTATCATTTGAATAACAATTATGACAAAAAAAATGCTTAAGGGTTAAAATGATATACGTATATGGAATTACAACATAAACCTTGCTTTTAAGAGCCTCAACATAAATTGAGCTTATCATATCTTAATAAATACTTAATATACATTCTTCTTTGGAGCATCATCTATTCACAAATCTAACTCACCCTTGAATGATATGAGCCTAGTCAGCAAAGCGGGGTATGCATCCGGTACACTATTGTCTGAGATGGAAAGACGCCTGATATATCCCTTGCAGTCGGTGCAACATGGCATATGTCATACTTCTATTATTGTCTAAGGTAGAAGATAAAAGTCTTGAATGTGTGGGTATATTAGTGACCCCAACTGTTACCATAAGAGGTGACTCTCATCCTTCAACATTCACATTCAAACATTCATTTATATATATAATTTTATTTGCATTTTTCTTAGCATACAATATGATTTTATGAGGAACCGTTGCATAATATAATAAACCTAGTTGTTGCGAAGTGTTGAGACACATACTTTATTTATTCTAATATGAATAATCATTTTCTATTGTGATAGATAAATCAGTGTAAACTGTTTACTGTTATGGTATGATAAGAATAAATCATTTTATATATATAGATGAATAGGAATTATAACCATATAATTAAATGCAATCTATCTAGAAGAAAGGAAACATTATACTACTTGGAAATATAATCACCCACATCGAGATTTGTAAGTACTATTCAGTAACCTCATCACTTAGTCCGTATATGTCAGCTCCTTTAACATCCTTTAATCATAAAAAATTCACATATATGATATCTAATTCGATTAATTTATATAAAATCCTCTTTTTAATTTTATACTTCTCTTTTTCATATTCCTCTCCTTTCCTTTCCTGACCTAATAATATTTTACTTAAGCCTAGTTTATTGTTTAACATAGTGTAGTGATTTTACAAAAAAAAAAAAAAAAAAAAAATTTTAAAAAAAAAAAAAAAAAAAAAAAAAAAGTCGTGATTTTACAACTATAATTGCATAGAATTATTTAAGTTGTTTATGCTAACTAATTTGTTTAAACCATATATATATATATCTTACTATTTAATTTTATTTTTATTCTATTCAACTATATAATTCATATTTAATTAATTTATACTTTTTATTCAAATACCTAACCATAATTAATGTTTTCAAATGTTTAATTTAATGCTGAACATATTCTTAGAGTAAACTTAGAATTAAATTTAACTCCATTTTTTCTTCAGTAAATTAGTTGATTAATTTATTGCAACTTCTTTATTAAATTTTAGATTTTTAATTATGTCCTAATATGAAAAATAATGTATGTCATATGTTCATATTTTAACCATCAGATTTACTTGACAAAGTCTTAAATTTTCTGATTTATACATTCCTCAATTATTTTTCTTCTTCTTCTTCATTCCTTCCTTTTGCAAAATCAACTACTTCCTCCTCTTCAAAACCCTAATAAAATGTCTCTGTAAATTAAAAAGAACTAATTTTAGAATTTCTTGATCTGATGGGAGAAAGGGCTTAATAATGCTTATATTCAAGTCGTTAATGATATGTATGCTGGAGTTGTTATTTGTGTTCAAACATAAGGTGGTTTGACCAATTATTTTTTTTATTTCAGTTGGATTACATTAAGAATCGGCCTTAAGCACATTTCCGTTAATGTTCTTACTAGATATTTGTAAGAGAATATACCATGGTGTATGCTTTTTGCTGATGATATTTTTCTTGTTGATAAGGCTAGAGAGAGAGTTGAAGGAGAACTTGAATTAAGGAAGTCAACCTTAGAGCTTAAAGGTTTTTGTTTGAGTAGATTTAGAATCGAATTCATGGAGTATACTTTTAATAGTAATAAATATAGTGGGAGGATTGTAATTTTGAGCCATCAAATCATTAAAAAGAGTACACATTTTAGATATCTCGGGTCTATTATACAAAGGTGATGGTGAAATAGATTGGGATATTATTAGTAGAATTCAAGTTGGATGGTTAAAGTGGAGGAATGCATCGGGCTTGCTGTGTGATAGAAAAGTCCACCTCAAATTTAAGGGAAAATTCTATAAGATGGTAGTGAGACCTGCAATGCTTTATGGTGCAGAATGTTGGCTATTAAAAGTTAAGCATAATATTAAGTTAAGTGTAGTAGATATGAGGATGCTCAGGTGGATTATTGGCTTCACTCTTAGAGACGTGATACGAAACGAGCATATATGTGAAAATGTTGGAGTAGCTCTAGTGGAAGATAGGATTAGAGAGAGTCGCCTTAGATGGTTTGGTCACATTAAACGGTGGCCTTCCGATGACCTGGTTAGGAGCGTAGATGTATTAGATTTGACTTATGTTAAGAAAGGTAGAGATAGATCTAAAAAGACTTGGTTAGAAAATATTAGAAATGATTTTTCTTTATTAGATTTAAATAGGAATTTGACTCTTAACAGGAGAATGGAGAAAAATGATTTGTATAGATGACCCCACGTAGTGGGATAAAGGCTTGGTGTTGTTGTTGTTGTTGTTGATGGGATAGAGGTCTAGACTAGATTTTTAAATATATTTATTTTCATGAAAGAAAAAAAGGAAATCTAAATTAGCTTTTAGTTTACCTTAATTCAAGTCTTAGAGGAGGAACAATAATGAGTTTCCAGCTCCTTGAATCGACTTCATTTTGTAATAATCCGGAATATGAATTCACATTTGGTGACGACATAGAACACCGGTGGTGGGGAGAAATAGAAGATGTCATTTTGAGATCCCCAATGGCTATAGACAAGAGATTCATATGAGAAAATAGAATTAAATGATCTTCTACTTGAGCTTCCAAAGAGAAAGGTTCACATTTTGCTTAGCATCCTGTCACGCTCAAGAGCTCATTGAGGTTGGTTTCTTCTGTCTGGTGCATGCATTCACAAGTTCTCGCTTGGTCTTATGCTCTCTCTCTATTGCTTATTTAAGTGGGACTCTTTAGTTACTCCACAATTTCCACTAATACTAGTCAACGCTCCATCATTCAAATCTTTATTAACTTCAACATAATTTTTACTTTTTTTTACCTTAATGTGCATCAAATCAATCCTCATGACACAACTGTTTCAAAAAACCAATTCCGACTTATAGATTATAAATTGGGTGGGCGTAGCATGACTCATGTTATCTTTTCTTACAGAAAATTATGTGCGTTCAACAGCTTATGCCAATTGGTGAATAACTCATCCTGTTTATTGAGAGTGCATCCTCATCTAATGTTTAAGCTAGTTAATAAATATATTAACGTGCATATGTCCTCTTCTTTGTATGGTCACTGCAATACTTTTGTATTTTCCATGACTCTTACCGCCATTTTTTCATCCAATGCTGGTATATTCTTGGCAGAGAACATTTCTTAGAACCTGGTTACTCAGGTTTTAATAATTTCTTGTAACTTCTATCATGAACTATAACTGGAAAGCTTTTTAATGTACCCTTTGGCAGGCTTTGACCACCTGTGCTTGATTTTGCAAGAGAATTAGCTCAATTCTTAAAATCACGAGAGTATTCGCTGCTTATGTTTGCATTCTTTGCTTATCTCATTGAAGCAATCTACAAATTGGTGTATAGGTATCACGATCTCTTGCAGCTTGTGAAGGAGCCCTTCTAGTTGTAGATGCTTCTCAGGTGCACTTTCTTTCCTTTTACCAGTAAGTTTCCGCAGCAGTTCTCAATCTCTTAAATAGATTATATGCTATGGTTTAGTGCTATTCCTAACTGAGTAGTTAGTTTGAATCTCATTGCTAATTTGTTCAGTTTTTCCAGTTTATAGCATATACTGACCTCCCGTTGGCTTGTTTTAATTTAGGGCGTAGAGGCTCAGACATTGGCTAATGTTTATCTCGCTCTAGAAAGCAACCTAGAAATTATACCTGTGAGTAGTTTCTATAATTTCGCTTTATATTTTTTTTATGTCATAATTTTCCAATTTTGGTTCTCCTTCATGGGCAGCATGCTTCATTTTGTACATTCTGAGTGGTATTCTGGTTTTATATTTGCTAATTATTCGTAAGCCATAGCATTCTAATGCTTATGAAGTCAAAATATTTTCTGTCTAATTTTGACTTATGTTACTTATAGCTTTTTTTTTTAATGTTACTTATAGCTTGAAGCTTAGATTTCATTAATGTAAGTCATCTTTCTTGTGTTTGTCATCATGAAACTGCTTTGAACGCCTGGCTTTAACGGTTTAACCTTCAGGAGTTTTCATGCTTTGCTTTATGGGGTGCTGTATATGCCTGCTTATATGATTAGTTAACCAGAAAAGCCACAAGAATACTATCAAGAGCCTATTGTTGTCCAAATTTTGTTGTCATCTCTGGACAGTGTTAAAAAAAGTACTAATGCAGTTATAATCTGTTTTGCATAGAGATTATAAATGATACAATGATAAATTATTTGTGTCTTATGTTAGTTCATAACTCGATCTACACTTTCACAAAGAACCAATGGACATTATAACTTATGCTCAAGAATTAATTAACCTTTAGGTCATGCAAATTTTGATGGGAATGGATAAGAGTAGCTGGTTCATGCTAATATTGATCTGAAAATATTCAACTAAAATAATTTACTCGTTTTCTCCACTTTTTCGAGGTCTAAAGGTTCATCTAAAAGAAACACAAGTTGATTTTAAACTTCTCTTTTTAAAAAGCTGGACACCAATGTGTTTCACCTTAAAGTTTACAAGATGTTTTGGGCTTGAGCTAGGCATGGCTATGGTCTGACTTGTTTCCTGTAGAAGTTAGGTTTTATTGGAATCTGAAATGAAATGTTGTGCTCAAATAAAAAAGTGTGAGGCGAGATAGGCTTTTGTTTAGGTTGATTGTACGCAGATTTGGAAAATTACCTTGTGTTCTTATCCAAGCTGGTTCTGAATTAATGAAGATGGGGGTGGGTAGAGTGGAGCTCGATAAAACTGGTTAATGAGCATTATTGGATAGCTTTGTTCACTTATTTATTGTATCGTCATAATGTATATATTCAATTTGATATAATATTGATGTCATTGAATTTATTGTGTCATTTAATGTTTAATAAAGTTAAAGTTGCTCATTAATTGTATCTAGTTATCAACTATAAATTTTATCATGAATCCACTCATGTTTCATTTCTTATTGAAGTTAATGAGTTTATAAAATTTAGGCCAATTTACTAAATATTCAAAAGTGCTTGAAGGAGGGGTGCCAAGATTATAGGACATTTATAGAAATACTAAAATAAGGAGCTCATATGAATAATTCAAAGGACAATTAAATAACAAACTATTGTTATTATTCATGTTAGTGCATTAATGTGTATTGTCACATTGAAAAAGAAACATACCAATACTTCAAGGGTTCTAATCTGCTTTGAAAATTGCCCAAATTACTATGAAACCCAAGATGCATTCTTTTTAACTAGTTGTAATATGAATGTGCCCTCGTGCCCATGAGGCTCCTTTGCCTCAAAATTATAACATTAATTTGATTAATTAGACATATCAATCAAGGATCATTGTTGATTCGTAGTTGACCCAAGGGTTCTAGTGAGTCACAACCTTAATATGTATGGTATAATTCGCACTTCATCGACATCAAACTTTAATCACCTGGGCCTTCTATGTTTTCAAAGTTAAAAGTCCCACTTCTGGGCTTTTTACGAAGGTTGTAAATTCCTTTCATATGCCTTCTTAGGGTTGTAAACGCCAACTCAATTAATAGGGTTGATACAAATCTATTGAGCCCATAAATCTAAATCTTACTTACGGGTCTTCTTTGCATTCAACATTGTAAGTCCCATTGGTGGTCCTTTCCCATGCTAAAGATTTTAAGTCCTACTTTTGTGCCTTGTTTTGGATATAAGCCACAATTTAATTAATAAAATTAACTCCTGTACTAGCAAGTTTCTCAAATCAATCAAATAGCAAGAACGACCAACTTTCATGCTAGTAAATTCATAATTCTATTGCAAAATTTACCAAAACTCTACTCGTCAGATGTGCTTCATTTACTCTGAAACTCATGAGTTATCTGATGGTCATGCCATGCCTTCAAGTTTTTATTTGTCCTATCAAACACATTTAAATGGTAAGTGGCCATGTTGTGTACCTCTAAACCATTTAGTTAAATTTGTGCACCAAGCCCTCTGTCAATGAGATAATTACTGTTAATCTTGAAAGCACATCTTTGACATGTATTTAAAAGAGAAACTATTTGAGATACAAGAGATATGACAACTTTTTTTTTTAGGAGAGAGATGTGGCGACTTTTATTTAGGGGTGTCAATATTTGACAAGACTCGAAAATCCAACCCAAATATTTCAGGTTAGGGTCAACCCGTTTGGCAGACGGGTTGGGTTCAGGTTCAAAAAATCAATCCGTTTGAAAAATCGGGTTGGGTCTGGGTTAACCCTCTAAATCGAAATTGACCTGGATTTGACCCAATTCCCCCGCCCAGATCCGATTCCTTCGCCAATTCGCCTGCACTCGTGAAGGCGTGGTCCTGGCTCCCCCACGCGTAGGCCTAGGCTAGGGACTAAGGTTTGCTTTTCCTCTTCTCTCACTATTGTTTGCCTCCTTCAATGACGTTCCTTCCTGTCGGGTCGGAACTCATGACAGCTGAGCTCGTTGTTCGGTTCTACAGTTGGATCATAAGCAATGACGACGATGGGAGGGAGCTCGCCGTTCTGCTTCAGCGCTTCTACAGTTGGATCGGAACCAACGACGATAATGGGAGTCGGGAGGGTCTCGTTGTTCTACTTTTGCAGTTGGATCGAAAGCAACTATGATGACAGGAGGGAGCTCGTCGTTCTGTAGTTGGATTGGAAACAACGTCGACGACAAGGGGAGCTCACAGTTATGCATTTGGATTGAAAGTAATGACGACGACGACGGGAGTTGGGAGGGACTCGCATTATGGTTTCATATCGGGTCGGGTTAGGGGTGTAGTCTAATTTGGATAATTCCTAATTTTGGATTGCAATAATTTAGTTGGTCTTTGAATTCAAATTTCCCCAAATTTGAAAATTTAAATTCTTTCAAAAATTATAAAATCTATTTAAGGAAAGTTTTCAAATTTCCCTCCATTGGATTTTGAATTAATTAGGATGACTTAATTCATTCTAAATCCAACCCTCAAAATTAAGGAAGCATTAAAGCCTCCTTAATTCCCTCCCTCTCACCCCTAGCCGCCGGCCTCATCATTCTCCTCCTCCCTCCAAAACACAAATCACATCTTGAATTCTTGCCATAATATTTTCCTCTTAGTTTAGAAAGGTTTAATTTCAAATGTCAAAGCATTTTGAATTTGAAATTCCTTTCCTAATTTAAGAGATCTATTTTTGGAAAGCTCCTTAATTAGCTCCTATTTGAATTTTAAATGAGAAAGGATTTAATTAAATCTTTCCTATCTCATGAATCTAAATTAGGAAGCTTCTTTTAATTCTCCAAATCTCCTCAAATTTCCCTCCATTGGATTTTGAATTAATTAGGTGCAACCGAGTCATTCTTCTGGAAATCTTTCCATATGGCAATGTCTCTTCTTGGAAAGAGTTTAATATCCCTCACTGCTGCTGGCCGAAATTTCTTAAGGCTCATGCATTGATTTCCCTCCACTAAATCCTTCCCAAACCCCTTACAACGTTGAGTTTCCTACCTCCCAAGCCTGCATCCAGAAAATTCCAGCCGTTGCCCTTGCATCCACAACAACTGGAAGTCTTATAACTGCTGTTTTAAGTAGACCAACCTGCTGTCCACCTATTCCTTTCAGCCCAAACTGCTATACCCTCGACGAAGAAGACTTCCTTTGCTATGTGGCACTTTCCCGGACCCAAAACAGCAGAGTCTCCCATGAACCCCCATACCCGTTATACATCATTTACTCTTATGTTTTGGTTAATGAAACCTTACCTATACTCTTGGTCTATGCAATTGAGCTGTTTGTCTGTACTAGGACATATTCATGACTCCATGAATATATGAGTATCTGTAAAAACATCATTGCCTTGCTAAATTTTGTTTCTGAATATATATTTCATCTGCCCATACTTCAATGATTTTTCACGCTGGTTCTTAAACTGATCAAATTTTAAATTTGTGTACTTTAGGTGTTAAACAAGATAGATTTACCTGGTGCCGAACCAAATCGCGTTGCCAAAGAGATTGAGGAGGTATGTTTTTGAGTATTCTTAATTTGAATTCATGGATGTATTATTTAGCTTCTCCTCCTACTGCAGCTTCATATATATTTTGCAAATTCACTTTCATAAGTAGAAGTACATGATTCCATATCATCTATGCTTTAATTAGGTTTTAAAAAATGCTGAGAAGCTCGCTTCATACTTTAACGTTATTTCCAGGTTATTTGGATCATTGGCGTGCCAAATTGCAGAAAGGAAATTGACATTTTTATCAAATTGAGGAGATATTATTAGAAAAGCTAAGGTGTTAGTGGATGCTATATTTTCAAGTATGCAATTGATGCTATGGCATTTGATTTCTGACATAAGCAAGCATTTACCTTAAATTGATGTTACTTCTTGGTTGTATGGATCATCGGCATGCTGAAGTGCCTGAGAGGATCATATTTTCATTAAATTGAGGGGGCACTCATCATTGAAAAGCTACAAAAGTTCTAGAAGAGATTGTTTATCGAAGCCATGTTTTTATTTTATGATTCTTGGCAGATGAGGTAGGGCCAAGTCTGCCAATCTGACACAACATTAAAAGCCAATCCTAATGTCCTAATTGTCTAAAAGTTCTTCAGAACCAAGTTCGAGCAACCAGGATGAGGGTTGGCCCAGTAATGGAGCATGAATGCTGTCGGCTAATAGTAAGTTTAGAGGTTCACTTAGTGCTCCTTTAGCACTTTAATATAGCTATTAGCTGGGATTGAAGTCATTCCTCAGATCGGTGATAAGAAGTTATTGTAGGAATCATGAACCCCAGAGTATGCAACGAAATTATGTTAGCGACTTAGACAAAAACTACAATTATGTAGCGACTTAGACAAAAACTACCACATTGCATATAATCATAATCCCAAAAGGTTAACTCTCTCTCAAAAAAAAAAAGGGTAACTCTCAAGCCAGTGAATCCCATATATGCAGCTAAGTGAAGTGTTCTGGATTTGTATCATTCGAAGGACAAAAATTCTAGCTGCTGTAGTAAATAGGTAAAAAATAAAATCAATCACAAAGATTTCCTGGGTATCCAAAACCAATGCCTGGCTAATCAAATATGGTCTCCATCTTGCCATAGGGATCAGTCCCATTAGCAACCAAAGTCCTGCAAAGAACTGGCATAAGCAACTCCCATGCTTCATTTAGCCTGAAATTGTTCTTCCTGTTGTTTATGATAAACCTTTATTTAACCTAGTCCCATGACTTGAGAAACAAAGACTTGTGAAATTTATCTTACTTAGCAAATTGCCGCACCTAGTTTATCCTCTATCTTTATCTGTTTGAGACATCGAGAATATTGCACTCCCTTAGCTTCTTTTTTTACAAGCATAATTCTGAAAAATCTCAATTAATCATTGAAAACACTGCTAGACTATTGGGCTGTTGGAAGTCTGGCGGTTGAAGGGCCTGAATATATTCGTTTTACTATTAATTGCATCATCATGTACGGATCATGCAAGTAAATCATAATTGCATTGCAAATTATTTTCCTACCTATTATTTTACTGATCAAGTTGATTTTGATTTTGCAGATTATTGGGTTAAATTGTAGCAATGCAATTCATTGTTCAGCTAAGGTTTGTTTTTATTGTGATGTGTTCCTGGTTCTGGTGGAAACTAGTTTATCTTTGTTTATTTTAGGAGTATAGAATTGATTGTTCCATGCCTATAATACAAAGTCTGGTTCAGGAGGGAATTGGTATAGCAGAAATTCTACGTGCAATTGTCACAAGAATTCCTGCTCCAAAGGACACCTCAGGAAGTCCCCTCAGAGCTCTAATATTTGATAGGTGCATTTATTATCTTCTTAATTGTTTCTGCTTCTAATTTCACATCTTTTATTAACCTCTGTTTATTGGAAAATTCTACGTACACAGTTGTGGTATGTCTAGTACTTATATTTTGCTTTCCGGTCAGAACTAAAGTGCATTTTATTTGGTTGCCCCTGAAAGAATATCTTGACCATGTAGTAATTCTTATCTAGTGCAGTCTGTGCTTCATTTTCATAGTTTATAAATTCAATTAATTGAAACTAGACCCTTAGAATTTTTACCATGCAGACCTAACAATCTAAGCTATCTATGTTACAGTGTATTACGAATTATTTCATTATTAAATAGTGATTGCAGATGGTTCAAGAATCTGAACAAATGCTTCATGTGAATTCTTTCTAAATTATCCACCAGCATGCACATCCCTTAATTGCAATGATATTTAGAACCTCCTAAGAGCAATTTGCTTCCAAAAAGAAATCTAGAGGAAGCACACGAAGTTATTTAGGCATACCCCTCGTTCATTTAGAGGCTGACTTAGGGAGCACGGTGGAATACTTAGTGCGGAGGAACAAAGGCAGTTAAAGAACAGGGAAAAGAGTAATTCAAAAAAAGGAAATTTTTGGTGAGAGATTAAAGCAAAGAAGATGAGAGAGCAAAATTTTTCTTTCTTGGTTTTCTACTTTTTTTATTCAGCCTCTACGGAGTACCTGTGGATTTTAATGGGCTTCATTTTGTAAATATTTTTTTATGCTTTTCTTTTAAAAACCACTACATATAAAATAATTGATATTTGTGAAAATCGCGTAGCATAAAGCCTTTGTGCGTGCACCTCCTCTATTACTTCACAATCATGGGCAACACACTTGCAAAGTAGTTTGTTCATTTTAGTTAGAGAAGCGACGACCACATTTCCAAAGACAACACAACTCTGCAACCACACAAGATTATCAAATGAAGCCCGAGCCTTGAGCAGACTTTTTAAATTATCTTAACAATATTAGGCTATAGCAATGTTTAACAGTTGGGTGGATCAACAAGGTTTACTCAATAAAATGAGGTCTTAGCAGATCTTTCTCTCACTCATGTACATGACTCGTGTCCTTCCTTCTCCTTTTACTAATCAATAATAATTTTTAAGTAGTTCTATCATTTTGTTCTTGCTTCTGTGCTGTATACTTAATGCAGAGCAGGATGTCAATAATAAGACAAGCTAGACTGGGAAGAACTGAAAGCTGGCGTATTTATTGCTCGAATCTTGAAATATATTGATGATAGTTTGCTATCTTAATTTTGTTCCCTTCCTTTTGTATTTAGCTTTATCATGTGGCCATTTTTCTCATCTAGAACTACATATGTTAAAGACTAGTTTGTATTGCTATCTAGATTTGTTTGTTTGAAGGATTTTCTGAATAAGATGTTGACTTAGTTTCAGGTAGCGTATAGATACAGAAGAGAATGGTGGAAATCTCTTAAAATCATATTGAAACTTTGGAAAAAAAGTTTAAAAGCTGTTGTTATGAGCCAAAGATGAAGCTATGGTTTCTTGAAAACAAAGATCTTTTTCATTGTTTTCTCACCCTTCTAGCTGCCTAAATCTACATCAAGATCTTAAATTTTTGAAGTCTTTTGAGGGCATTAAAATCTGTTCAAACCGGGTAGTTTTGTAGACATTCAGCTCCTAATGCTCTTAACCTTCAAAGGGGATCCTCATGCACACTGATGCAGGCAGGAATGCTGCTGGACATAAACCAACCCTGGAGCATTTTCTATTTTCTCCGTCATAGATGGAATTTTTTTGTTTTATTCTGTTCATGGATTCATGCTACTGGTTCTTTATTTATGACTACATGATATCATGCTGCAACTGTAGAATTTACCGATGGTGAACTGTTCTATTTTGCATCTGGCTCTATTTACCAGTTAAACGTTAAACATTATTTTCTTCTTCTATGCTTTCTGTTTGTGTAGCTACTATGATCCATACAGAGGCGTCATTGTCTATTTTCGTGTTGTTGATGGAACTATAAAGAAAGGTGATAAAATATATTTCATGGCTAGTGGGAAGGTAAGCATCTCAAGTCCCTTTGCTTTATTAGTTCATCACTTGGTGTCCTTCCATAGGCTCACTTATATGCTAGAATTTCTTAAGAATGCAATTTATTTATTTTTTGGAGAATTTCCAATATATTTATTACTTATTATGTAAAATGTTAGGACTTCAAATCTGTAAAAGATAGAGTATTTAAAATTAATTGTTCAGAGATCGAGTTTGTGGTATGTATATTTTATTATTTGTGATGTCAACATTTATCATTCAATATTATTGAATGATAAAATGATACCTAGGTATGATAGGGTTCATTATTTTTGATCTATGATATAGAAGAATAGGAATACTGATGAGGATTTAGTTTCTAAAGTTTTTGCCCAGTGGTTAAAATGTAGAGATGCCTTTGAAACATTTTGTGATAAGAGGATATCATGAATATTTATATGCAAATTTTATAAAATTGCAACTAGGCCAATGATATTGTATTTGTCTGAGTTTTGGTTCAATGAGATTGTTAAGGTGAACCTATAACAAAATTAGAAATAGTAGATTTATGTCTAATTATATTAGAGAAAATGTGGGAATAATATTTATTAAAGATAATGCAATTGAAAGTAGATTCGAATGGTTATACAACACTTACGAGAAACTAGTGTGGATTCATAAAATCAATCATAAGTTATTGGGATAAGGCTAATGAAATTGATAAAATCATTTTATAAGGATAATTTCTTCTAGGACGGTATTGCCCAAAATGATTAAAAAGTGTTTTGGTTACATGGCTTGCGTGGTTGATTATATATTATAAATATATTTCAGAACTTGTAAATTTAGAAAATTTGATCATTAAATGTTGGTTGGTGGGTATTCCATTTTTACTTGTGGTAGGGTTTTTGGTGGGTGCTTGCATATAGATTTTAGCTGGAAGATATAATGACACTCAGATAAGCCTATCCTGATGGTGTCAAATTAATTGACTTTAAAAAAAAAATTGGAAGGATTTTGTTGTCAATTTTGGAAGGATTTTGGTAGATTTTCAAATTTGGAAGAGATGATGAAAAGATGTTAGAGTTTCAAGCTAAGATGACATCATCAAAGGCAAAGACGCTGTTGACTAGACAAGGACCCGAGGAAAACCCTAATATAGGGACGATGAGGGAGGATCGGGAGATTACAATTTTGAGGGATGAAGAGGAGATGCCACCTTTGGAGCCACTTCCAAGGAGGGGAACTGATGAAGGGTATGGCCGGCGAGGAAATTGGGATGGTGAATATTGGAGGTCTGATTTTGGGGAGAGGGAAACATAGAGGGATCAAAACACCAGCTATACTGGAGGATGAAGAAGCAATTGAGGCGGTAGCGATCCTAGAGTGAGAAAGTTGGAGATGCCGGTTTTTGAGGAAGAAGATGCTCACGGGTGGATTTATCGGGTGGAGTAATATTTTGCTATAGATGGGTTTACAGAAGATGAAAAACTCATGGAAACTGCTCTATGTTTGAAGGGGAAGGCTCTGTCTCAGTACTAGTGGAGAGATTTGCGAGATTTGATCCGATCATGAAGGGAGTTTAAATATTGTCTATTAGAACTTTTTTGAACCAGTCGGGAAGGAGATTTCTATTAACAGTTCTTTGCTATGGTGTAGGAGGGGATAGTGATAGAGTACCTGGAAAATTTTGAGTACTTCTCAAACCGATTGGGAAGGTAGTCAGAGATTGTGGTAGAGGGGAACTTTATGAAGGGGCTCAAGCCTAATATTAGAGCAGCTGTTTGAGTACCGAGACCACGTGGCTTAGGGGAGGATATGGAGTTAGCCCAGTTGGTGGAGGATAAGAATTCTTTGGAGAGGAGTAGCCATAACATCAGTTCGGGAGTCTCCTACCACACGACCACTATATTTTCGGACCAAAAGGTGCAAATGGTGCCTAATCAAAAGGAAGCTCCGAGGGATAAAGGTCATGGAGTACGACGAGGGGAGACTTCAAGAGGTTGACTGAGTCAGAAATTCGGGAGAAGATGATCAAGGGTTTTTGCTTTAGGTGTGATGAGGAGTTTGCTCTAGGCCACCGTTGTAAGGACCATTAGTTACAACCTAACAGTCTGCGATGAGGAGGAAGATGCTGCAGAGGATGAATAAGAGAAGGAAGTAGATGAAGATGGTATACTAGTACATTGTTTACTTCAATGTTGTGGGCTCCGAAAATTCGGCCTCGGCCTCCGCTCGCTTTTCTTATTCGGCGAGGGAGTTTTAACGAACTAAGTTCCGAGGTAAATTTT